GAGAGGAAGAAAATATATCTATAATATTAGCTAAAAAATATTATTAAAAAAAATCCAATGTCGTGGGAGAAAAATGAAAGCTGGAGAAATATGGCTCAATTTGTGTAACGACGTCCCATAACTACACTCGCGAGCAAAACTATGGAATCACTTACATGAAGTTGTTTCCACGCGAACTTGTGTACTAACGAATTTGTTAGGAACAAAAAAAGTGGCACCATTTTAAAGATTAAACTTTTATCTTTAAATTGATACCAAATTCATTTAAATCACACCAGTATTTAAAAAGATATCCCGGCTGATGTGAAGAAGTAACGAAAAAGACATGTATGAACTGTTTGATACGTCGCGAGTTGCGGCCTATTTACCCCCTATAAAAGCACGCGTTTTCGGATTTTTGCTTTCACACGTTGATTCATACACATCTCCGCTTCTTTTGACACTTTACCTGGGATTCTACACCTTCAGAAGCAGCACAAATCGTTGCACTATTGCAAGAAGGGCTCAGCCAGCGGGCTGTCGCACGTCAGCGCCACATAAGCCAGTCCTGGGTTTCGAAAGTTTCAAGACGCTTTCGGGAGACTGGTGGCTTTATTCCGACACCAAGTTCTGAACAGCGCCGGCGCACATCGCAGAGGGAAGACCGTTTTTTCATGTCAACCTCTCTATGAACTCATCATTTGACTGTAACCGATGTCCATCAAGAGCTCAAAAATGTTCGTAAGATAGCTGTTAGCGAGTGGACAGTTCGTCTAAGATATAAGCAATAGAATTTGACTCCAAAAAGGCCTGCCACAGGCTCGAAACTGACGGCAGGTCACCGATAAGCACCCTTTCAATTTGCTCGTACACATCTCGATGGGAAGGCGAGTAATGGAGGCGAGTTCTGTTCTCCGATGAATGCAAACTGTGTTTGCAGGGCAGCAGTCGAAGAGGTCGGGTTTATAGGCGGCCTGAGGAGCGATTTGTGCAGTGCTGGTTCGCTGAAACAGTGGCTTATGGGGGTGGCTTGCTCGACTTAACATCGAGATGTGTACGAGCAAATTGAAAGCGTGCTTATCGGTGACCTGCCGTCAGTTTCGAGCCTGTGGCAGGCCTTTTTGGAGTTAAATTCTATTGCTTATGTCTTAGACAAACTGTCTACTCGCTAACAGCTATCCTACGAACATTTCTGAGCTCTTACTGGACGTCGATTCCAGTCAAATGACGATTTCATAGAGAGGTTGACATGAAAAAACGGTCTTCCCTCTGCGATGTGCGCCGGCGCTGTTTAGAACTTAGTCTCGGGATAAAGCCACCAGTCTCCCGAAAGCGTCTTAAAACTTTCGAAACCCAGGACTGGCTTATGTGGCGCTGACGTGCGACAGCCCGCTGTCTGAGCCCTTCTTGCAATAGTGCAACGATTTGTGCTGCTTCTGAAGGTGTAGAATCCGAGGTAAAGTGTCAAAAGAAGCGGAGATGTGTATGAATCAACGTGTGAAAGCAAAAATCCGAAAACGCGTGCTTTTATAGGGGGTAAATAGGCCGCAAATCGCGACGTATCAAACAGTTCATACATGTCTTTTTCGTTACTTCTCCACATCAGCCGGGATATCTTTTTAAATACTGGTGTGATTTAAATGAATTTGGTATCAATTTAAAGATAAAAATTTAATCTTTAAAATGGTGCCACTTTTTTTGTTACTAACAAATTCGTTAGTACACAAGATCGCGTGGAAACAACTTCATGTAAGTGATTCCATACTTTTGCTCGCGAGTGTATTTGTTTTAATTGGTACTAAAGGATGATTAAAGTAATTTTTTGCTAAAAAATCATATTTCATTGAGTATTAAGGTATTTGTATATCTAATAGATGGAATACAATGCTGTCACAACTCACCTCGGTACCTGTCACAACTTACCTCGGTGCTAGGAGAGTTGTGACAGAGGGAGTGGTCTAAGATTTTGGTGATTTTCTTAGAAACCCTAATACTTTAGTTAACTTTAGTGATTGTTTTGAAAACAGAAGGAACGACGCTACATTAATTTGTATGATTCATAGCTGTGGAATGTTTTTTGAGCGAGATATGGCCCCTAAAGTAAAAATTGTCACAACTCTCCTAGGTCTCCCCTACCATAAAATTCTATAGTCCTCATCCTCAATAAGAGGTCAATGGACTGCCCTACTTATCATGTACCTATCATTTCAAATACGAGTAATAGGTACACATACTACAACGGCTCCGTGACAACCAAGTTAAAGTGTGAACTGAAAAGTTTGGAAGCCCCTGACTTAGGGCATTACAAGGACGCCTAACTTCAGAACTTTAACACTAAATATAGATAGCCCAAGTCTACACGTGTCCGACCTATACTGACTGAAATGGAAATTTCAGTTGGGTTACGTTTTTTAGAGATTTTTGTAGACTATCTTAGGCATGAAGTCGCCCTATGTTGCGCGTAACGATCACAGGAAATTGTGCCCTAGTGAATACAGCCTGTAGTACTAAATTAAATAAAGAAACTTCGGAAGTACCTAAGGAACTTCTACGGATGCACTAAGTTCCCTTCAAAAGTATCATAAAATATTTATTCAACTCAGGCCAATGTACTAGGTACTTCTTACAGGACCTCCAATTACATCTTACAGCAAACCTGTATAATTCAATAATAGGGGAGAGGGGGGCAGCTTTGAACAATTTTCATAGTTTATTAAATATCTTCTAAATTTGACTGATTTCATTAATTTTTTCTTCCTAGATAGAGGTCATGGTTATCACACAACAAAATAATGATGTTCTTCTTAATTGATCATGAACGCTTATTAAGATATTTACATTTTTGCACAGACCTGTAAATGTTCAAAACTGCCCCGTAGTCGGGGCAGCCTTAAACACGCCTGGGGCAGTTTTGAATTAGAATTTTTTTCAATGAAATAAAACGGAATATTTATGAACATGTATTTTTTAAATAATTAATAAATAAAATTCTAAATGATCAGTGTCATTTGGGATCAATTTAACATGTTTATTTTATTTTAAATCACTTTGTACAAAGTAACACAAAACTTAGGGATATTATTAAAAAAAAGTAAATATAAGATATATCAATTAACTAAATACTAATAAACTTTCTGTTTAATGATACATCAAAGACAAAACTGCATAATTTTAAAAATATCAATCAACTACTAAAACTAGCTTTTGCCCGGACTTCACCCAGCTTGAAATTTTATCTGTTACAGTAAAGCAATCTGCTTATTTTTTATGTAAGAACCTTCTACGAAGTATTAGAAAACTTAAAGTTTCATAATACCACTGAAAAAAGAAAATTGATAAAGTTCAAAGGTGCCCCAACCATTTCGTTCAAAGCTGCCCCATGGGTATATTTCCAGAAAAAAACATGAATTTCATAACGGAACATACTTTTATGTTGCAATTTCTTATCAAATCTTCATTGAAACTATTTAAACTTCCATATAGTAAACAAACCACTCACTATTTTATAAAACTACGTCCACAAAAACCTTAGAACCAAAATAAAAAAGTGCGAAACTGGCAGTCAAAAACAAAAAAGCACTTTTACCGGTTAACCTACAGTTAAATATTAAAAATGAGATGTGACAGCTATGCGCATCAGTGCTGGCAATATAAATTATGATTTATACCATTGTAGCCCAAACCAGTGATTTTTAAATTCATTTGTTCTAAGCTGCCCCTGTCCAAAGCTGCCCCCCTCTCCCCTACAATGAACAGGCCACCTTAATCGAATATTCTTCGCTTCGGAATAATACGGGAAGTCAGCGGAAGAAATGACACAATAATTTATTATACCACGCGAACGTGATTCTTTTCATAACAGTCTCTGCTTGGTATTAGCTATCAGGGAGTTGCTAAAATGTAAAGAAGATGAACGACTACCTACTTCCTTTACCGTCGTTTTTCATCCAACTTACCTATATCCATTTATTAATAAATAAAACCTATCTTTCATTATTATTTCATAGTCATAAATACGCATTTACTATCCGTTTGCTTTAAGTTTGCCGCTGTGGCGATATGACGTCACTCGAAGGAAAGCGTCTATAACTATAACAAACTACATTTAAAATATTTTCTATTTATTATTATTGATAAAAATTATGTATCTGCATAAAATAAGACACATTAATTGTGTTTATCACAAACTAATTGCGTTTAATCGTGGTTGGGGGAGGGGACGCGAATTCCACGGACCGGCAAACTTAGCGCGAACGGGTATAGGTACTATCAGTAAGTACCATTTTCACACTTAAAGATACCTTCTAAGCAAATATTTGCTCTTCGGCGAAAATAGTAATAATTTAGATCGAACTTCACTTGGTTGGTAAGTTCGTTTGATCATCTAAAAATGTTTATTTACTAGGTAACTAATAACTTTTCATTGCAAAGTGAAGTAATGTAGAGAACACTTGAAAGTTTAAACAATGTTTTGATAACTTTAATCATCTTTACATTATTGCTTAATTTTGGCGCAGATTAAACTGGCCATGACACATAAATTGTTCCGAAGTTACCTAATAAAATTCCAGACTGTTGTTAATTACTAAAGCTTAGGCTAGATAATTAATAAAAGTCCAAAGCCCCATTTAGGCAGATTAATAAACGAAAGTAGTTCAGTTGTCATGCCTGTTTCGCAAGTTGTTATTAATTTCGTTGCTATTAAAATTAACAAATGAAAAACAAGTAAAATTTTATATTTCATATTTTGCGATGGCAACAAGGATCAAATATTTATAGCTTCTTCTATAAAATTACGAAAAAAAATGTGCTATTTCATTTTTTTCTGGATAGTTTTTTACCACTTATCACGTAGTAAAAATATTCATGAGAACAAACAACCCTTATCTTCAACCTAACATGTTCAAAATACAGGGCGTATTCTCCGATTTGGATGGAAATAAAAGAGATAAATTCTTGTGTATAATAATTTATTTTAATTTTCATGGCAAATAACACAGACATGGTGTCGTTTCGCTCAATGTAAAACACTAAATAAATATTTTGTACGTACTTATTTACTTCTGCGACTAAAACGTGCGATTAAAAGTATACAACTACAATATTTAGCAAAATGCTAAGAGAGCAGATCCAAACAACAATATGCGTCAGCTAGCCTACACTTTGCATCGTATTTAACAACAATATTGCAATCATAATAACCATAAAAATAACTAATAAGTTATACCTTGCGGCGATACAATAATATCGGCTGATTGTATGGAGCACACAAATACAGGGTGTAAGAAATAGGCTTGCACATTTTTTAACTCTTTTTTTATTTCGCCTAAATTTTATTTAAAAGTTAATTTTGCCTCTTCATTTCGAGGTTTGCTAGATTTTCCACAATGTATTAAAAGATTTTCAACTAAAAGTTCCGCCAACCTATTCCTGACACCCTATATACATTTGTTTAAACAATTTTACATTGTTCGAAACTACATATTACCCAGTCTCAAAAGTTGTATTATAAACAAAGGCTACCTACGCTTACTTATTGCAAGTAATATTTACATCTGGCTACAACACTGATACGGCCGATAGTGAACCTATATTCGTCAAAGATAGATTCATTGGAGGTTGCATTTAAAACTTTATAAATGTCCATTAAAAAAAAATTGGAGATATCAAACTTCATAATGTAATATAAATAATGCAAGTTGATTTTTTGAACAACACAATTTAGAAGAAGAGTAAATATTTAATTTGCAATAATTTATGTGTCAAATACATAAGAACTAACCCACTCCCTTCAATAAATCTACCGCGGAGAGAAATCCCAGTTTAGTAGTCACTTATTTATACTTTACACGTAAATGAAGGAGCAGTGACGTGACGTCACGTAACACGCACTAAGGGAATAGTTACGTATGTAAAAAGAGGTATTCAAAAAATTTTCTATTCAAAAATTTAACGCATTCAGTACAATAAGGCAGAATTGACTAATCGCTTCGTTCGCACCCTACACAATGACGCCGTTTCCATCACATATTGTCATAATTTAAATTTCATACAAACATTTCAATGAACTAAAAATATTTTTATTTTTTAACTTACCCGTAAATCGGCGGCTTGAGGCCTTTTATCTCAATATTATCTCTCAAATCTCAATTAACTTTCAAAGTTAAATCATTATTATTCCGACTACATTTTTTAAATTTATACTAAACACTTCTCAAAGAAGAAAACGTATTAATTTTTACTGAAGACCCCATCTCATCATCTTTATCTAACATCATAATAATTCAATTTTGCAAACTTTCTAACAAATAGAAAAAACTCGTGTTACGAGAAAAATCACATTCAAACTCTTCACACTTTGTTTACGTAATTTTATTTACGTTGTGATCAATTTCACCAAAATAAATATTGTCAAATTTGAGAAAGATACTCTCACACTCAAAAATTCACCCATGTCATAATAATTTCATTTATTTTCTCGACATTAATTTCTAGTTAAGACATGGGCGTGTGACTATAATTAACATTTCTGTTTATCTAATCCAACAATAAAAAATAAGGCTCAATTCATTTCCTAGCACCGAATGACGTCTCGAATCTCAGTCTCCAATAATCACAATTCCATTTGTCATCGTACCCCCTCCAAACGTTCCAACCGATAAGATAAAATGTTCGTTCACAGCGAAATCGTGTAGCAAATTAGTATTTCATACAATTAAGTAAGTATAGTTTATTATATAGTAGTAGTTATAGTATAGCTGTTTACTTATTACAGGACTTGGTGACTCTGATTTCATAGTATAATTATCAAAGATTCAAATTCAAAATGCTGAGCGCATTAACTTTTTTGTTTGCTTTTAAATTTCACAGCAAATTCTGAATCTTTATTTGGAATTTATTTTCCTCTTGGGCATGGTTTAGATTTAATTATAGTTTGATAATAATTTGCATTAATTATCTCAAAATTACACGATTCGCCTTGAACTCACACGAAATTTTAAAAGTAAGTTGTTGATTTATTCAATAAAATACAATAGTGAAACGATCTGAATTTAAAACACTAAATATTCACCCTTTGCGTCACATTCATTAAAATATTTACATTATACATAAAATCGTCATAAAACGTGATAATATTATACATATAATTATCCTAAACGAATCTTAATCACTAGATAGAACAATCGTTATAATATCTTTGGTTTAATAGTCCATAATACACGCAACCTCATTTGTTCAAATCTGGGCAGAGTCCTAAATAAAATTATACATACAATCTCTATGAAATCAGTACAGAAATATATAGAAAATGATCTCCCGAGTCCATAGTTCTTTCAAATGCATTTTTACACATTTAAAATGCTTTCGGATATGGCAAGGATGCATAGGTTTACGGTACCTCTCAATGCATATTCATAGAACCACTTTATGTGCGTGCGGCGTATGCCGTTCTCATAAGAACGGAACGGTTCTTCCGCGGTGCTTTCCACTTCTCATACAAATATACACACACTACATACGCCCCACGTAACTCAAGGAGAATTGTGAAAATACTTTCAATATCTGTTTCAAATACTTCTTCCTTTGAACTTAAACTGCTAGGACTGCGGTTTTTATTTATCAGATTGCATTACATTTGATTGCACATATTAAAACTTAAATACAAACTGAGATTGCGATTTTAACTTACAAGCTAAAAGTAAATTGATTTAACAAAATATTTACAATAAAGTTTCAATAAAGAACTAAGGCAAATGCTTCGAGGAACCACAAAAACACATTTTCATCATATTTATAGATTTATCAAACTTCATCATTCATGTCGCTTCATATTTACTATCAAATTGACCGGAATTTATATTTTAAAACATTTATTTCCATAATCTTTTTTCAATTCATATCTACTTCTTTCGACATTCGTTTTTTTATAATCTTTGACACTCAATGTCTAAAAAATAATTATCAAGAATATTTAAGAGCCATCTTACTGTTTGCTCTTAAAATCGTAGTCTTTATTACAAGAAAAACATACGAATTAGAAAATTGTGCAACATTATAAATAATAAGTAAACAACTATTATAAAATGTTAAAATAACCGAGAATAATATAAAATGGCTCATCTATTGCTGTATATTTGTGCACATTCATTTAAACCGTCTGTAAAAACATTAGGATATTGCAAAATACATAAAAACGTTCGTTCGATTTGTTCAGAATCTTTCAACAAATTCATGACAAAACTTCCGTACTTAGGTATCAAACGCACTGTCAAAATGCTGTATAAAACTCAGTTCCATGTTGGAATTATGTGTATAGGATGTTCTTACGTGCCCTGGTCGTAGTCCTCTAGAAAGCGTTTGGCCTTAATCTTGAGTTCTGTGAAGGTGGGCCGCCGGTTTGGCTCAAGGTTCCAGCAATCGGTCATCAGGTATCGGTAGATCTCAGACGGACAGTCGTCGGGTATTTGAAAGCTGGAATAATATAAATACGTTAGAAACGTGACGAGGGCATTGACACATTAGATGACAGACAAAATTACAACCCGATCGAGTTAACTGCGCACCCAGCAGCCGTGACGTCACATCGACGCTTTGGTACAGTCAGGCCTGACTCACACCGCGTGGTACATCCGATAATTACCTACAGCGAAGCGCCCCGCCGGCGGGTATTATATCAGTCGAGTGTCACGCGCGCGCTCGTCAGGATGCTGGCGTGCGTTGTAGTATGATTATAATTCTATGATCGAAGTATTATTTAAAAATGGACATAAAGAGAAAGACATATTGTGCGGCGTTCGGGTGTTTAAATTCGAAAAGTTATCTACCGCATTTATCTTTTTTTTTCGCTTCCCAAAGATGCTGAAAGGTATGTTGGCCATGTAGGTAATTAATAATTCTTAGGATAGTATAGGAACCTAACCTACTATGACTACTGCTCAGAATGCGTTCGTTCGTTACAGCCAAATGACGTCCACTGCTGGACAAGGTTTTCCATAATGAATGCATACTTACCTACATACGTACCTCATTACAAAAAAGTAGATTAATTATTTTTCCACTAGACAGCAACCCTAACAGCGTAAGAAGAGTTCAGAGGCACGCGATAGAAAGAGACAAAACTTGTAGGTGAATAAAATTGTAGGTACGTAGTGCTGTGCGAGCTGAATTCCACTGTATCCCGTCGTAGCAAGACTCGCATTTATTTAAATCGTCTTGCGGAGTAATCCTTCTGTACCTGTACTATTACTTATTCTGTGGTACAGTAGACGGAGCGAACGCGGGGAAGTGTGCGGGTGAGTGAAAGGAAGAGTCGCATTTCAGCGATGTTAGCCGATCAGCCAGTACGTCGATCGGGTTGTGCATTTATTTATGGAAGAAATTGAGCATGAGATGGAAGATGTCAATTTTGACTACTTAGGCTGGGTTGCACCATCTTACTTTAACTTTGACAAACGTCAAAAATCTGTCAAACTTCATACAAAACACACAAGTTTTCGTCAATATTACGGTCAAAGTTAGGTGGTGTAACTCAGCCTCAGTATAGTTACGTCTCATCTATCTAATACATATAGTATCATACAACTCACAAAAAAGTCTTAAGAATAAGAATGGTCCCAATATGCACTCCAGGGCAAAAATTACCTCTACTCCTATTCCTACAAGGATTAACTTACCAAGAAGCCCGCTCCTTGGGCCGCGTCATGTCGAACTTGGGCACCTCCTGTGTGGCGCGCGTGAATATCTCCCACGCTGTGACGCCGAATGACCACACGTCGCTCTTGGTCGAAAACATCCACGGGTCACTCGCAGACTCGGGCGCGTACCTGGAACAAGATAATAAGGTAATTAAGACCAGTTATTGACTATGTGAGACATAGTCAATAGTCATATTCGACTGTGTGAGACAAAGTGCATTGAACTGCATACTTCACTCGGAAGATGAGGGCTACCCACTAAAAACCAGGCGGATGTTTAACACACAAGTGTCGCTACTCGTGTTCTTAAATATTTGACAGGTGAAGCCTCGGAACCAGTCAGTCAATCTTGCAATCTCGTTAAAATGACACAATACGATAGATCTAGCCATTAGCTCAATATTATTAGAGCCTGAGCGGCACGGGAGAGGTGACATTGACATAATATTATGACGTGACAGAGCAAACAAATCTGTGGGTCTAGACAAAGTGCAAATTATAATCGCAAACCAGTGAAAAAGTGGTCGAAAAGCCCCTTTTTTGTATGGAGTTTTGACGGATTCGATTTTCGATTCGATCAAAAAGTGCGTTTTGTCTAGGGGGGCTAATGCACATTTGAAGTCTCGCTGACGTTTGACGCCCCAAAAACACCCGTGCCGGCTGCCGCTTCCATACCACAGGGACTGGTTGAGTTAAACGCTAGACCTTGCTGTACCCATATGACTATCTCTCATCCGTAACTTCTTCGATCGTGCATTTGAATCTGTCACCAATGTTACTTTGTTTAGAATTAGAATAGTAAGAAAGGAAGCCTGGATTAACTAAGCCATCGTCGCTGCAGGAGGCCTGTAGCAGCCTAGACGGGCTGCTTGCCTTCTGGGGGGATCTGGGGTGGTTGGAGTAGGAAGCTAAACCACAAATCGCGCACAATAGCCCAATAAGGCTAAGGTCGGTATTCGATTGCCCTGCAAAACTAACTAAAGTACGGCCAACTAGCAACTATCAACTACAAAAGGTCGATACGCCAGTCGAGTTGACAATATATTCAGTCTCTTCCCATCTTGTGTATTTGTCGACCCATGACATTGGGTTTGTTTACATTTGGTATCGCTTCTCGTTGGCCGTACTTTAAGCCTTATCTTAGAAGCAGTGGAGGACATACCAGTTGATGGGCAGCAATCGCTCGGTCTTGAGCTTGTATTTGTCGTCGTCCTTGGGTATGGCGCGCGCGAGCCCGAAGTCGGAGATCTTGACGTGGTATTTGTCCACCACGAGGATGTTCCGCGTGGCCAGGTCGCGGTGCACTATGTTCTTGCGGGACACATACTCCATGCCCTGAAGGAAATAAAAAACCTATCGAATCAAAATTGCTAATCACTGTGGCATCTTGTATAAATAAATAAATAAATAAATAAATCTTTGGACAATTTCACACAGCGTCAGCTAGCCCCAAAGTAAGCAACTTAATGCTTGTGTTATGGGTGCTAGCTTAACGGATATACTACTTATATACTTTTTTTTTAAATACATAAATATTATACATAGTCACACCCAGACCCGTCACAGAAATTAAAATTCATCATTTCAATTTCTGCCCGGCCGGGAATCGAACCCGGGACCTCTCGGCATAGTAGTCCGTTCTGAACCACTACACCAAACGGCCGACTAAAGTAGTATAGTCGTAAAGTAGTAAAGTAGTATAGTCGTAATGAGTGTCATTTTGCAAGAGAAATACATAGTTTGTACCACTAGCTAGACAGGTTCTCCTAAAGATAGTACACACTAAAACCTGCTAAGAATTTTGACTTTGATATTTAAGCGAGAACATCTCTCATGTGCCGTGAACTCCGCGAAGATGGCAGTTGACATTTATTGTAACTGATATAACGTAATAATTACGTGCGCACTTTGTTAACACGATTTAAAACTATTACAGGCAACCGAGGCATACCCGCGTTGATCATTCTGAAAAGCCTGTTTGATGTAATCAAAGTTTTCGGTTTAAAAATGAAACTAAACGGCTACATTGGAACGAGCCGACTCATATTTGGCCGGTTTTGAGCAGACTCGTATGAACCTGTAATTCTCAAACCCGGTTGCTTTCTGTAACACTACAACTCACCGTGGCGATGTCCCTCGCATATATGAGCAGGTGCGTGATGGACAGCTTGTCGCCCTGGAACTTGAGGTAGTAGTTGAGCGAGCCCTCCTCCAGGTACTCCATCACGATCATCACGTCCGGCTTCCACGAGTAGCCCAGGATGTTCACTATGTTGTTGTGGTTCAACGACTGCAAGTAAATGTACCGTTAATTGTAAACTTCTGTAATAGACTAAGAGCTAGTGAACGCCAGAACTACGTCATTTTATAAAAGCTGAAGTTTGTCAGCGTATGCTCCCAATACAGGATATAATGTTGGTGAATTATGAAGTTGGGGTCATCGTGGCTTTGGCAGCTACCCTAAAAAAACTGTCTGGCAAGGAGTTGGAACTGTCAAAAATGTCTCTGTCAGTTTTTTTAGGGTAGCTGCCAAAGCTGATTGACATGATTGTGAAAAATAAGAACCTTTACAAGAATTTCGCATGTCTCAGCACTCTACGCGCAGAGAACTTGAATGCAGAGCGCTAGAATCTGGTTATCATTTTATTGGTACCATTGTTGAAAACTCGTACTGTATTATGCGAGAGCGAGAATAGCTCAAAAATGCAAACTCAACATGGCAGAAGGTTTTGGTAATATACTGAATGTCCCAAAAAGAGCGTCGACTACTCGTTAGAGCCTACGCTACTCGAACGGGTGCACTCACGCGTTTATATTAAAAAAAAAATAGCATGACCAGCGCAGTGTAGCGCGGCGTTCCCAATGTTTTCACTCTTTCGTCCACTATACTTTGAACTTTAGCTCTTCACTTTGTATAGTGTAAAGCCTGGTCCGTGAGCACGTAGAATTTTATCCAATGACCCCAAGCTACCTCGCAGCGCGTAATTATGTTGCTGTCGCGCTCGCACACTAACTGCGGGCGCCCGCCGCACAGTCGCGACAGCAATATAATTACGCGCGAGCGATAAGGATGGGTAGCTTGGGGTCATTGGACAAAATTCTATGTGCTCACGGACCAGGCTTTAGTGACGTCACCTTCATGATCTCGAGCTCGTTCTTGAAGTCGATGTAGAGCGTGCTGTCCTTGTCTATGGCGTGCGCCTGCTTGGTGAGCTTCTTGATGGCCACCTCCAGCCGCTCGTCCGTGTCCCACTCCATCCAGCCGCGGTACACCTCACCGTAGTTGCCCTGCGATGAACGATCGTTTTGGTTAGGCTTCATTTTGTAGTGTTATTATTGATGGTGATTATAGACGTGTATTTTCGACAGCTAACAGACGCAGTAGTGTCTAGTAATGTAATTCGAGCATATTTTGGGACGTACAGCAGGCCTGAAAAGGACCTACACACTGATAACTAATCTGAAATGAAACTCACATTGTGCGCCTGCGTTGTCGGCTAAAGACACATATTTCACATATTTGGGAAATATTATCCCCTGAAATGGGTCTACGTACTACTTAAGAAGGTCGTAGACTTTCAACTCCGACTTCCAATCCAATTAGTAAGCGTAAAAAAGTCTACTACTAGTCCCACGAGTGACAATCGACTGCATGCGGCGCGGCTTCCCGCCTAATGTCGTAATATTTGGGGCGTAGAGTGACCTAAAAGAGGCCTACATGCATTGCTTACATACTAAAGAACAAGAATTTATCACTTACGCTTCCAATTCTCTTAGTCAGCGTGACAAAGTACGTAGACCCTCGCGTGACAATCGGTTGCATGCGTCGCGGCTGCCCGCCCGCCACGAATTGTTCACCTGGATCGTCGGCTTATGACGCATATTTGGGATTTGTAATACGTTCCAAATAAGAAAGAGTCTACATACTACTAAAGAATATAAGATACTAGCAGCCGCCCGCGACTTTGTACCCGTGGATCCCGTTTTACCACCGTAGGGGTTGAATTTTGCTAAATCTCGTCTTAGTGAGCACCTACATTCTAAAAGGAACCCATGCAAAATTTGAGACTCCTAGCACTTTTAGTTTTTGAGATTTCGTGATGAGTGAGTGAGTCGGTCAAGTCAATCAGTGACCTTTCGCTTTTATAAGTATAGATTACTCACGCTTCCAATCCTCTTAGTCAGCGTCACAAAGTACGTAGACCCTCGCGTGACAATCGGCTGCATGCGTCGCGGCTGCCCTCCCGCCACAAACTGTTCTCCCGGGTCGTCGGCGAGCGGCGCGCGCGCACTCGCGCTTCGAAGCGAAGACGACGAGTGCAGCGCCAGCGCTACGGAACTCATACCCTCGAGGGAGCTGGCTAGTTTGTTGTTGTTGGGGAACTGGGAACAAAACAAAATGTTATAGAGCTTTAAATTCAGCGGGTTATTTAGACTGGATTAAACAAAAGATAAACCGTTATAAAATATTCTATTATCAGGTTATTTAATCTCTACCACGGGAGCAATGCCATCTTTTATTTATCAGAGGAAAATGGAGAACTTGACCTACACTCTCCACGCCAGCCAAACGGCTTGGGGAAGCCTAGTATTTGCAGTTTTGTCCTTACTTGATCATTGATAGAGCTTGCTTAAGCTAAAATAGTAGAAAAGACAGCTGTTCAACAAGCAAAAAAAATATGGGTATTGCAAAAAACTGTTTCTTTAAGATTGATCAAGTGTATCCTGGTTAACTGTTATGAACAACATAGAAGTGAAATTCATAAAAGTATACGAATTTTGGAACACTCTTACTTACATGGTTTTCAAAGTGGTTGACAAGAGTGCCGTTGAGAGAAGGCGCGCTGCTGTCCGATATTAGCGACTTGTTACTGCTCGCGTCGCTTAGCTCACTTGGCGCAAATCTGTCGCCTAAAAACAACAAGTATGGTTTAATATTTCCAACATTACTGTCCTACGTTTGTAAGAAAATATCAGTTCCTTAAGAAAGGTCTACCGAAATTTTACATTACGAAAAGTAAAAACTTACTTGACACTGTGTCTGTGGTATCCATAGGATGGTTGAGGCAGATCTTTGGTTCTTCATATTCGTGAATAGGCACGTATTCTGTAAACGAAATGAGATGTTATAGCATAAGGCACACAAGTGAATTGTTTCGCTGCTTTTGGCATGCATAAAATAATCAAATCATTCTAAAACAAGATTCCGTACTTTGCAGAGCAGGCACCTTACGGGCGTAGACAAGGGACTATCTACGAAATACTTTTTTGTTTATTGATATAGAAAAACACGCACATGGGAAAAAAAGTACTCCACACAAAAATTGTCCTCAATAACTGAGAACGCCGCAAGTCCGAACTTGACAAAAGTACAATCCGTGGCATTGAGCCAGTGGCAAGTTCTCAGCGGACATTTTTTTCAGGATCCAGGGAGTTTTGTCCACTGTGGACTGCGCAGGCTTTAAATCATCTAATATGACGGCTCATGATGTTGGTCATCAGTATTGTGACCACCAGAGCAGCAGTAGAGAGTATAGTTGCAGGCCTCTGTGCAGCATATGGTGGTGGTGTGATCACCAGCGCCCCGATTGCGCTAATTTGTAATGTCTCCAATTCATTCGCGTTTCATCTCTAGTCCACACTCCAGTCACACACCGTTTTCATTCCAGCGAATGTGCAATTCGGTATCGCGGTAAAGTTCACGCGCAAACAAATGATTTATGCACTTTCCATTACAATTCCAAACACCTTATTTTATAAACTAAAATTACTAAAACAGGAAATATTCGTAAAGCGTTTGAATTGCGTTTGAGATAAAATAGCTTTCTCTCAGCTTTTACACAAAGACGCATTAGCGTTTCATTTACGTGGCAGCTTCGTTTGAACTAGCTGTTTTTTTGTTCGTCATCCAGTCTAGTTGTAGTTGAAAATATTTAGCGCAATCGGGGCGCAGAGAAGCATAAGAGAGCATAACACACTGACCTCTGTGCAGCATGTGGTGGTGTTACGATCACCAGAGTAGCATAAGGGAGCACATAGTACACTGACCTCTGTGCAGCATGTGGTGGTGTTACGATCACTAGAGCAGCAGAAAAGCATATACAAGGTGTCCCAGAATGGGTGAATCTACTAATGTACTATACCTAAAAAATATGTAGAGCTACCTCCCCTATCAGTTTGATTCACCCATTTTGGGACACCCTGTATCAGTACACTGACCTCTGTGCAGCATGTGGTTGATGTCGCGCATGATTTCCTGCGGGCGCATGGGCGAGGCGCGCCAGCACTGAGCCAGCAGCGCCCACACCTCGCCCGGGCAGTGCGTCGGCCGTAGCAGGCGGTCGCCCAGCTCGTAGCTCTAAAAGTTATACCACAGAAAAAGGAGGATTTGATGAGTGCTACTGACAACGCCACTCTTGTGGCGGAGTTTTGGGCTGACACTGTGTAGGTTTGTTGTCGACACGAAAAGAAAAAGAAGTGAATCATTTACGCTCTGGTTGAAATAAATGAAGGCGCGCTACCGCGTTTTAAGCTAATCAGCACACTATGCGTAAAATCTGATTGGTTATTCAAAACTCTTCTCTGCTCCGCTCCGCCTTGGTGGACCGAGTTAGCTGGCGCCGCTGGCGATTAACAAGATCTTTCGAAAGTAGTGATAGCGTGGTGAATAGTCAATAGTCAATATCTTTATTGCATTCCATGTTGTACATAATATGTTGTATGCTATAGTTCTCCTATCGTATATCGCGCTCACCAACTGACGCTACTATCTTAGACACTAGCGAGTCAGGACCTTACTTGCCAGTAGTGCCAACTGTTATAAAAAATCAACGAAAGAATCGCAATTCGAAAAGTATGTCAATTGATTGGTGGTGTCAAGTCAACTCTCATACAAAAAGGGGGATATTGCTTCTTGGAACTATGTTACAACTATCTTTTGCCCGCGGCTTCACCCGAGTGAAATTTAGTTTGACACATATCGTCATAAATTATAGCCTATGTGTTATTCTGGGTTATAAACAATAATACTGGAAAGTTTCATCATAATCCGTTCAGTACTTTTTGCGTGAAAGAGTAACAAACATCCAGACATCCAAATTTTCGCATTTATAATATTAGTAGGATAGTAGGACTATGTTAAACATTTCTACATTAAACTTACCTTCTCAGTGAGGACGGGGTTGGTCTCGGCCGGCGAGACGCCGTAGGAGAATACCTCCCACAGCGTGGTGGCGAAGGCCCAGATGTCGCCCACGGCAGACCGCTTCGCCAGGTTCATGTCCGGGAAAAACTCCACCGGCATCCAGTGGATGCTGCAAGAGAAACATATTGATAAAGCCCGGTCTGTGAGCACGTAGAATTTTGTCCAATGACCCCAAGCTACCCATCCTTATCGCTCGCGCGTAATTATATTGCTGTCGCGACTATGCGACGGGCGCCCGCAGTGAGTGTACGAGCGCGACAGCAACATAATTACGCGCGAGCGATAAGAATGGGTAGCTTGAGGTCATTGGACAAAATTCTACGTTCTCGCAGACCAGACTATAGTGACCCGGTCGTAGGTCTGTTTAGTTAGGCTGAGTTTCGTGAGTGGCGACCACGAGCCGGAAGACGTAGCGTGAGCAGGCCTCCCACTAGGTGGACCGACGATCTGGTGAAGGTCGCGGGAGGTGCCTGGATGCGAGCGGCGCAGGGCCGGTCTTTGTGGAAATCTATGGGGGAAGTCTTTGTCTAGTAGTGGACGTCTTTCGGCTGAAACGAACGGACGAGTTCACCACCTTACTTCAACTGTAACAAACGTCAAAAATCTGTCAAACTCCATACAAAAAACACCGGTTATTGTTACGTTGGTGCAACTCAGCCTTAGAGTCTAGAGAAATCAGTGATAGCCAGGGGTGTCAGTATTTCCTAGGGGCCTTGGACGAATAAACCACTGGACACGAAACCTACAAGATTTCTAAGTAAACACGATCAACCACTTTTTGCGGGGGGAGAGGTTTGACAATTGTCAAATAATGACATTTAGTGTTGGGAAAAGATCGTAAATTTTTATCGATAGTTATGTAAATGAATGAATGAATGAATGAACCTAACGAGACAAATGAATTATGGATTGATTTAATATTGAAAGTTTCTTTAATTGAAAGACTATAATTAATTATTGTATCGTGTTTATTATAATGCCATTGGTAAATCATAGGTACAAATAATATTACAAATTATTCATATAGGTAGGTAACTAGGTGAAATATTTTTTGGCTGTGTTATCATTATCAAATTCGTAAAGCAATAAACAAGTAATATTCTGTTACGATCGACTGCTAACTAGCTTTTGGTCTCAACAAATGTTATAATCTGTCTCACGTCACGGACAAAAGTTTCATCAATAGCCTATTTCTATACATTTCATGAAACACAATTTGATAACATTATGACAATGTATTGCTTTGTAGCGCTTGCAGTACGGATGCACTATCTGAGAATATTTAATTCTTATCTAATGTTGTTGATATTCTTATGTTTAGGTCATTCGAGAAGACCTCCTAGTACTTATTTCAGTTTTGAAGACGTCGGTATATCCTAACTTCATTGATTCCAGAGCAATTTCGCGTTTCCGCTGTAAGCTGGATATTATCTTTGGTCGAAGATGTGTACACAGGGTACCTATCCTGTTGATGAGGGGTATTTCTTTTAGGGTTTTGTGCAGAATCGCGGAATATCCTGTCTCCTTGTTTTGCTTTCATAGATCGTTTCCTTTAAGTCTTAGAGTGGGTGCTTGTGCTTCCTCCTGAATAATGAGGTCTAAATGTCTGAGATTCAGAAAGAAGTCAAGTGATGCCGATAGAGTGGTTCTCATACAACCCATGGCCGCTATGTTTGCTAGGCACTATGCATGTTGTCGATATGACTTGCCCAGTTCAATTTATTGTCAAGGGAGATGCTCAGATATTTCACCTGTGTTGGTTTTGTTTTGAAAAGTTCAGTGGCCTAATTCACGTATCTTGACAGTCAAGATCTCTCTGATGTTCAGAAGTCGTCCCATTGAAAAACAGTTGATGACAGGATGGACCAAATCAAGTTCCAACCACCCCGGTATTTCACTAAACGTGAGGGGATGACACAGATCTAAAAGGTTCCACCTCGGTATTGCATACCGAAAATAAAACCTGTTAATGAAATAAAAAATAATAATTGTAGTCATTTGGCGTATTTTTGTGATGACCTTTTGTTTCATGTGACTAAAATAAAGCCAAAAAATCAATCAACATCAAAAATATTTTATTCAAATTTGACCAGTATTTTGATGTACAACATATTTCAAAAAAGGTGTAATTATTACTTACATTTACTAGTGTGCTTGTTTTGTATGTTCCATCTATGTCTATCTCATAATCTTTTGTTTCATGTGACTAAAATTATCAAAACAAAAAAATCTATCAAAATCTAAAATTAATTTGAATAATTTCAGTTTCAGTTTGTTTGGTATATCTGTCATAGTCAAAGGTCGATATGCAGTCTCTTCGCGGAATGACTAGTCTATCCTAGGTTTGACCAAGGCCTTCAGGCAAACCCCGAAGTAAATTCTTATTTCGGCCTTTGACTAAGTCAAACCTAGAAGTGCCTAAACGGTTCAGTCAAACGTCGAAACTAAAATAATCTGTATCGGGCTTTGCCTAGTCAATCCTAGAAACGACTGACAGACTCGGTCAAAAGTAGACGGCAAATAGAAAACCGGCCAAGTGCGAGTTGGATTCGCTCACGAAGGGTTCCGTGCGACTCTGATGCTGTATGGAAGCCCCTCTTAAATAATTATATTATTTTAATTTTATGATTTATTTTTAAAATAGATTTAAGCAACTAAATATATGTGAATATTTCAAGGGTTCACCTGTTTACGTTTTAATATCAAGTAGAAAACTGCAACAAGTCACGTTTGCTGTATGGGAGCCCCCCTTAAATATTTAAATATTTTATTGAATCATTTATTTTTAAAGTTATTATTTATTTATTTTAAATTTATTATTTTTAATGATTCATGAGATACGAGCCTGGTGAAACCTAATTTAATTTGCTATATTTCGACATTAACAGATATTTATTTATTTAGTACAAGCTTTCCGCCCGCGGTTTCGCCCGCGTGGAATTTTGTCTGTCACAGAAAAACTTTAACGCGCGTGTCCTTGTTTCAAAAACCGGGATAATAACTATCCTATCTCCTTTCCCGGGACTCAAACTATCTCTATGCCAAATTTCATCAAAGTCGGTTCAATGGTTTAGGTGTGAAAGCAAGACAGACAGACAGACAGAATTACTTTCGCATATGGCTTTTTTTTTATCTTTTTGGACTTT